TTTATGATGTTATATACTATAACTAGATACTATATTATGATTATGGGAGTTGAGATTACGAGACCTAGTATTATTGACTATTGTTATATTATTACCACGAACCAAGATATTTATAAATATCTTAGTTCGTGATTATTACGTGTCGTCGATCGTAGTATTAGGGAGGGATGTTTATTGTTTATTTGTCAATTTTCAATCGTTTATCGTTTGCGTTTATACTTCAGCTTTATAGTTAACACAGTTCTGGTTTGTCGTTGCTCGTTTTGCACAATATATCGTATTATTTTTTAAATTGTGTGCCAATTATAATAGTACGAGTTTTATCTATTATTTTATTCTTAATTTTATATAAATAACATTATAAAATAATGGAAGAAGATGCGGATAATYCTGGACATCAAGGACCGTCAACTCCTAAAAAAWCACGATYATATAGGGGTGATCTATCCAAAGAAGAGAGACCGAAACATCGCCAACAAAAATTCCGTACAGATTGGCTAAAAATGGACGAATTTAAAATGTGGTTAGCGCCATTAAAATTAAACGAATACGGTGCATATTGTAAATTTTGTAAACAAACATTGGTGTCCGAAATAGGTGTACTTAAAAATCACAGTAAAGGCAAAAAACATGTCCAAATAATGCAAGGTTTCTCTTCTAAACATCACTCCATTACCTCATTTACAACTAAAGAAAAATCACCAGATCGCAAAAAACAACAATTGGTATCTATTGCTGAAATAAAATTGGCCGGCTATTTTGCTGAACACAACATACCATTTTTGGGAGCTGACCACTTATCCGACTTGATGAAAGAAATATTTCCCGACTCCGAAATAGCAAAATGCATTAATGTTAAAAGGACTAAAACAACTGCAATTGTGAAGAACGTAATTGGTGTATCACAAAAGATCGAATTGGCTACTAAACTTAAAAAGCAAAAATTTAGTTTGCTAACGGATGAGTCGACTGATATTGGTACTGTCAAAACTTCATGTGTGGTTGTGAAGTAATTGAAATTAAATTTTTGTATTTAAAATGAATAAAATGAATCAACTATAGGTAGTTAATTTATTATTTACAATAATTGATTACAGATTTTATGATGAATCGACAAATCAAGTAGAAAGTGTATTTTGAGAGCTTCACAATGTTTTTGATGTATTAATTTTCAAGCTTTTCTACCGAACAAATAAATTTTTATCGATATTTATAGAAAAAAAA